TGTTGCAGGGCAGGGCCCAGGGCAGCTCGGAGCCCGGCTTCTGGCTCAGTGACCTGGCCCAGGTGCTCACCTCTCTAGCTAGTGGTGACCATGGCCCCTGGAGTTCAGACTCGGGGAAGGGTGCTAGCATCGTAAGCACACACAAACTGAGGCTCAGAAACATTCAGTGGCCTGCTCAAGATCACACAGCATTTGGGGCCGAGCCGAAGACTGTCTGCCGTTTGGACAGTTTTCACCATCTGGAGCCAGGCCACGGGGAGGAGGTGGGCAAACACGGACAGCCCTGTGCTGGGCGCTGAGCTGGAACAGCCTGGTCACACCTGGGTGTCAGCGAGTGCAGAGTCCCAGAGGGGCCTCTGGGTGGGCAGCATGGTGGGCCCAGCACTGTGTCCGCTTAGGGAGCCCGGTGCACTCTCACCTCCAGGGGTGCCCGCCCCGCACGTTCCCAGCAGCTGCATCTTGGGACGTGGGTGCTCCCAGCTCAGCCAGCTTCCTAGACCCAAGGAGCCCAGAGGATGGGCATTCATCCTGCCAGCCCCACAGGGGGGGATCCTGAGAGAGCCGATGGTAGTGCAGAGCGCCCTGGGGTCTCCTCTGCTCTAGACCGTGGCAGCCCCCTCCCCACCCCCACACACTCACACTCTGCTCGTGGCGGCACCTGGAACCCAGCGCCGCTTCCCGTGTCTGTGGTCGGCCATGCCACCCCAGCCACTCTAACTGGGTCACGGGGTGCCCAGAGCCTGGCTCTGACGGGGGAAGGCTGGTGGTCACCGCGCCTGAGTCCGCCCCTCCAGGCGGCTCTTCCGAGCTGAGTCTGAGCAAAGCCCTTCAGGGGTGGGCGACCTGGGGGCCCTCTGGGCAGGTGGGTGCGCGGGACCGTCCCCGGGGGGCACGGGCCTGGCACAAATGGCAGGTGTTTCCTCTCCCCTGGGCGAGGGGCTGAACCCGTCCCCTGCAGGTGGGGAGTGTGCGCTGCTGGCCTCCGGGGAAGGGGGTGCTTGCCGGAGGACGGAGTCCCTTTCCTCCCTGCCTGGCACTGGCTTGGGTGATTGGGTTTCAGCACCACCTGGGACAGTTTCTTTCCTCCCCGTTCTCTCCCCAAACCCTGACCTGCTCCCCCGGCCAGGGCGGGGCGGGGGGCAGGAGGCCTGTGGCTGTGCAGGGCGGGGTGGGGGGCAGGAGGGCTGTGGCTGTGCAGGGCGGGGGGCAGGGGGGCTGTGGCTGTGCAGGGCGGGGCAGGGGGCAGGAGGCCTGTGGCTGTGCAGGGCGGGGGGCAGGGGGGCTGTGGCTGTGCAGGGCGGGGGGCAGGGGGGCTGTGGCTGTGCAGGGCGGGGGGCAGGGGGCCTGTGGCTGTGCAGGGCGGGGGGCAGCAGGGCTGTGGCTGTGCAGGGCTGAGGGCAGGGGGCGCTGTGGCTGTGCAGGGCTGAGACAGGGGGGGCTGTGGCTGTGCAGGGCAGGGGGGCTGTGGCTGTGCAGGGCAGTGTGCAGGGGGCCTGTGGCTGTGCAGGATGGGGGCAGGGGGCTGTGGCTGTGCAGGGCGGGGGGCAGGGGGGCCTGTGGCTGTGCAGGGCAGTGTGCAGGGGGCTTGTGGCTGTGCAGGATGGGGGCAGGGGGCTGTGGCTGTGCAGGGCGGGGGGCAGGGGGCCGTGGAGGACACCAGGCTGGGTGATGGCCTTGAGGGGGGCGCTCTTTCTGGGTCCGCTGGGTCCCCTGGGGGTTACATGGGTTTCGCTGGGGGTTGCGTCGTTGGGGGCAGGGGCCGCTTCCTCTTTCGCTTTGCAGCTTTCTGAAAACGACGGTCCCAGCCGCCGTGGGAGGGAGAAGCGCCGTAGGTTTCTGTGGAAGCAGGGAGACCGCCACTTCCTCCCCCCCCATCCTGTGAGTCAGCGGGGGCCGGCAGGGCAGCCCAGCCTCCGGCAGCTGGAAGTCACTCCACCCCCCCCACCCCTACCCCGGCTGGGGGCCCCTGAGCTTCCAGCTGCCCCTGTCCTCTCTGGCGGGGCTGCTCGCCCATTGTCCGGGGGCCCCTCCCTCCCCATTTGTGGGCACAGGCGGCTGGAAGGTTGGAGCCCTCCTGTCCATCACCCGCCTCCTGTCCATCCCCTGGGGTCCAAGCCGCTGCTGGCTCCCAAAGGCCCCTGAGCCTGGGTGGTGGAGGCCCCGCCCACCTTTAGCCAGACCGGGCACCTTCTGGAACCTGCCGGGTGGGCTGGGCTGGTGGCTGGCAAGTGGAGCCAGAGGGAGGGGCCCCGGAGCCAGACTCCTGGGTGCAGGTGGCACTGGGGGGCAGGCGGAGGGGGCGGGGAGGCCTCCGACTCCATGCAGGACGCACAGGGGTGCTGTGGGGACCTCCCCGGGAGGCTGTGTGCCCGGTGATGTGTCTGGACAGAGCGTCCCTGGCAGTGCCCGGCCGCGCCCTTCGTGGGCAAACCGGCTCCTCCTGGGCTGCGGCTCCCGCCTCGGCTGCTGGGCGGGAGGGAGCGGGGTGGGGGCAGGGTGGGATGCCTCAGCCCATGGTGATGGGAGTGCTGTACCCCCCAACCCCGTGCCGGACCCCACCCTGAACCCCTCCCTCTCCTGAGGACCCCGGGGCTGAGGGCCTTTCTGGGGAAGGCCCCCGGAGCCGGGGCTCAGCTGGGCAGGTGGCAGCGGCTGTGCTGGGGACGGCCTCAGGCCTCCCTCCGCCCCCCTCGTGGCCGGGAGCGGCGGGCTGGGGTCTGAGCGGCGGATGTGACTGGGCCGGGAGGAAGCCTGGTCCCAGGATGTCACAATTTCCTGCGGTGAGCAAGCACTTCTGGGGCGCGGGAGATAGTGGTGGGCGGGGCACCCCCGGAGCGCCAGCCCTTTAGCTGCCCGGGCTCTGCACCCGGCTCCTGCACGCCCTAGACGTGGGCTATACAGGCCCTGACCCCTGACCCTCACTCCTGGGCCCTGAGGGAGGGGCTGGAGGGACACAGGGCCTCAGGAGCAGCCCTCCCTTCCAGGTGGAGGGCTGGGGAAGCCCGATGTGTGGGTTTCCCCGGGGTCAGAGCGGGGCCATCACCTTCCCCAACTCCCTCAGTGAACGGAGAAGGAAACTGAGGCCGCGGGAGGGGGGGGTTGCTCACAGCGAGGACTGGGCGCTGCCCCGGGAAGATGGGTACGTGGCTCTCCTAGGCACCTCACTGCTCCCCAGAAAATGGCCCCACCCGCCACTGCTCCCTGGGGTCCGGCCACGTCTCAGAACCCCGGGAACCCGGGGCAGCCCCATCTCTCCGTCCTGCAGCCTCGGGCTGTGCCCGCCTCCCCCCGCCCTTGGGGGGTGCTGATGCCACAGCACAGCGCTGGAGGGGGGGGCGGGGTATGGTTTGGGATGGGAGGGCTGGCTGGAGCCTGGGCTGGGCGGGGCTGGGGGAACAGGCCGTCCACCAGGGACTCATCCCGGGACGGCATCCTCCATCCACCGCCGGGCGGGACCCAGGCACCCCGGGGAGCTTCCCGAGGAGCCCGTGTCCGGGGCTGGCTGCGGGGTGGGGTGACCGCTTCTGCCCAGCGTGGGTGTGGCCTGACCGCCTGCCGCCACGCGTGTGCCCCTCGCACCTGCTCTCGGGCTGACTGTGTGCCAGGCCACACTCACGTGTCGGCAGACCTGCAGGTGCTGAGGGAGCCCGTGAGAAGCGGGTGGTTCTGTCTGGTGGTGGCAGGGAAGGCCGCCTGGAGGAAGTGACATTTCCCTTTCCTTAAAGCAGCTGGTAGCCCTGGCCGGTGTGGCTCAGTGGATAGAGTGTCAGCCTGTGGACTGAAGGGTCCCAGGCTCCATTCCGGTCAAGGACATGGACCTTGGCTGCGGGCACATCCCCAGTGGGGGGTGTGCAGGAGGCAGCTGGTCGATGTTTTTCTCTCATCGATGTTTCCAACTCTATCTCTCTCCCATCCTCTCTGTAAAAAATCAATAAAATATATTAAAAAAAAAAAAAAAAAAAGCAGCTGGTAGGCGTGAGCCAGGCAGGAGGTGGAGCCTGGCGTGCCAGGTGCCGGGCGTCAGATAGGAGGTGGGAGCTGGGGGACAGGATGTGCCCGGCGGGGGGTGTGGTCGCTCCGAGTTCCGGAAGGATCCTGCCTGTTTATGTCCTGACCAGAGCGCGGGCCTGGCAGCCCCCCTCACCCCGCCTTCCTCCGCTGCCCGCCTGCCTTCTTGGTGTCCAGGTCCCCGGGCAGCTCCCCAGGCCCGCTCTCCGCCCCAGGGCCCGCAGGAGGCCGGGCCGGGCAGCTGTCCCCAGAGGGGCTCCGGGCGGCATCGCCACGCGGCTCCGGCACTGAGGAGCCGCCTGCCCTTGACCTCCCTGCCTGGGCTGCCGGGGCCTGGGCTGCCAGGGCCTGGGCTCGGACTCCCGGTGCTCTGGTGGAGAAAGGAGGACGCCCGAGTCTGCTGGTCGGGCCTGAGAGAAGCAGGAAGCCAGAACCGGTTTGAGTGTCGGCCTGTGGACTGGAAGGTCCTGCGGCTCTCTGCCCTGTGCCCCGCGCCTCTGCCTGTGGTCCCCCCTGAACAGAGCCCAGAATTGGACGGAGGTGGGGAGTCGGGGACTTCCCAGACGCTACTGGTCTGGAATGCAAATGAAGGGGGACAGAAATAGACCTTTGAAAAAAAACATTTGTGTTGATTTCAGAGAGGGAGGGAGAGGGGGAGGAATGATGAGAATCATTGATTACCTGCCTCCTGCACGCCCTTACTTGGGATCAAGCCTGCAACCCAGGCCTGTGCCCTGACCAGGAATCGAACCGTGACCTCTGGGTTCGTAAGTCGATGCTCTACCCCTGAGTCACGCCGGCCGAGCAGACATAGACCTTCTTGCCTTCCCCCCTCAGCCGGTTCCGTCTCTGCCCGGGATCTCAGGGTCCAGTTAGGTTAGAACCAGTTTCTGGCAGGCCCCCCCTGGCACCTGGGTCTCCACGTCCCCTCTGGTCCTCACACGCCGTGTCCCCTCCCCGTCTCCTTTCCAGCCCCCCACCCGCCGCCCGCCATGGCCTCCGCAGACAAGAATGGCGAGACCGTCTCCTCCGTGTCCGGCAGCCGCCTGCAGAGCCGGAAGCCGCCCAACCTGTCCATCACCATCCCGCCGCCCGAGGCCGCCGCCCCCGACGAGCACGCCAGCATGCTGCCCCAGGTGAGGGGGGCCCCAGGGGACAGTGTGCCCACGGGACCCTCCGGGGCAGTTCCACTTCCTGGAGGAGGCTCCTCCCAGCAGCTGCCTGTGTGGCCCCGACTTAGGCCTGAGCCCCTCTGTGGGCCCTGCACTCAGCACCCCCCGAGAAATGGGAGCTGCCCCAGGACAGGCGCGCGGTCCCACCCCGCCTGGCTGTTCCAGCTCCGCGCCGGCCCTTTGCGGGGGAAGGGGCGTGGGCTGTCTGGGGGGACTGGGGTGCAGGGCACGTGTGTCCCAGCCCAGCAGCCTGACCTCCTCGCCTGCTCCTCGAGAGAACGGAATGAATCGGTGTTTCCAGCAGCCGGCCCCCGTCCACAAAGACCCCATTGAACAGGCTGGGCCCCGCGTGGGCGCCCGCGGCCTGGGCACAAAGGGGCTGTGTCGGTGCCGCCCGCTCACCCACGGGTGCTCTCCAGCACGCAGGGCAGGCCGATGCCCCCGTGGCTGAGGGGGGGCACCGGATGGGGTTTCTGGGAAACATTAGGAACTGGTGATGTTTAGCCCTGGGATGAGAGCAGCTCGGGGTGTACGCTGAGGCTGAGGCCCGTTCTCAGAGGTGTCCTGGTGGGAGCCGGGCTCCATGTGTGCCCACGCCCACGCCCACCCTGTGCCGCCCCTGCCCCCTGCAGAGGCCCCGGAATCCCACCTACCTGAAGAGCGTCAGCCTGCAGGAGCCCCGCGGACGCTGGCAGGAGGCGTCCGAGAAGCGCCCCGGCTTCCGCCGCCAGGCCTCGCTGTCCCAGAGCATCCGCAAGTGAGCGCCGGCGAGGACCCAGGCCTGTCCCCCCCGTCCCCCTCCGGAGGCCCAGCTGGCCTTAGCGAGCGCCTCTCCCTGCAGGGCGGGCCGGGAGTCGAACACCGTGTTGCAGGGGGGGAAGCTGGGGTGCAGGGGCATGTGCCTCGCATAGGCCCAGTCCGGCTCCTCATGCCAGAGCAGCCACGGGGACCGAACCAGGGGCTCAAGGGGGAGCTGCCCCGCCCCTGCCGCTGCATACAGGTGCCCTGTCACCCCCTGCACACATGCACGGTCACCTGTCATCACTCCTTACACACACATGCCTGTCATCCTCTGCATACACACGGGTGCCATCACTTCCCCTGTGCACATGTGCATGGTCAGCTCTCGTCCCGCCCTGCACATGCACATGACCTGTCACCTCCCTTCACACATTCAAGGTCACCACTCGTCAGCCCTCACACGCGTGCACGGTGAGCTCTTGTCACAGCTGCCTGCACGCGTGTGCCACTGACTGACCTCGCCCCCCCTGTGCACACGCGGGCACGGTCAGCCCTCTCACCCCCTCCACACGTGCGTGCCTCGTCGCGGTGCCCGGAGCCTCACGCCCCTCCGTCCGCAGGGGCACGGCGCAGTGGTTCGGGGTCAGCGGCGACTGGGAGCTGGAGCGGCAGCACTGGCAGCGCCGCAGCCTGCACCACTGCAGCGTGCGCTACGGCCGCCTCAAGGCCTCCTGCCAGCGCGACCTGGAGCTCCCCAGCCAGGACGGGCCCTCCTTCCCGGACACCGAGTCGCCCAGGCCCTGCAAGATGCCCAAGGTCGGCCGCGGCGGGCCGCGGGGCCGCGGGGCGGCGGGCGCTGCGCCAGGGCCCGGCAGCTCGCTCACCGCCTCCTCCGTGCAGATCGTGGACCCTCTGGCCCGAGGCCGGGCCTTCCGCCACCCGGACGAGGTGGACCGGCCCCACGCCCCTCACCCGCCGCTGACCCCCGGCGTCCTGTCCCTCACCTCCTTCACCAGCGTCCGCTCCGGCCACCTGCCCCGCAGGAAGAGGATGTCGGTGGCTCACATGGGCTTTCAAGCTGCCTCTGCCCTCCTCAAGGTGAGGCCGCCCGCCCCTGCCCCGCCCCTCCCGCTCCCCACGGCAGCCCCCAGGAGCCCACCTCAGCCTCTCTGTGCCAGAGCAGTGGATGCCTGGGACCCCTGGGCAGAGGGAGGCCCACGTCCTAGCCCCCAATTCCCTCCAGGGCCCTGCCGTCCCCCTGGCTTGGGAAGCTGGTTCTGCACCAACAGGCTGGGAAGCAGGAAGTGAAACGTGCAGTCAGCCCTCATCTCCACGCCCCCTGAGCCCGTTGACGGTGCTGGGCCAGGGGGCCGCAGAGGGCGGTGAACGGGCTCAATGCCAGCCCGGTGAGGGCACGTCCGGGTGGTAGCAGAGGGCCTGTCCAGGAGAAGGGCTGGTGTCAGGGAAGCACCTGGGCCGAGCCCGGAACAATACGGAAAAGTTTGCCAGGAGAGCCAGGGAGGGAACAGCGCTCTCAGCAGAGGGAACAGCCGGTGCCAGGCCCAGAGGCGGGAAGGGGCGTGGCCTTTGGGGGGCCCGCGGGGCGTCCCCGTGGTTTTAGTGACAGTGGCAGCAGATGGGTCAAAAAGAGGGCAGGCCTATGTGCCCAGCCGAGGAGCCAGGCTCGGGGAGATGGCAGAGGCTCGGGAATGAAAGGGAGTGAGGGGGGTGGTGGTCAGCTGCCGGGCAGAGGGCAGGAGGTGGCCAGAGAGCAGACACGGCCAGCGTGGGGGGGCGGATGACGCATCCGGGCTGTGAGGCCGGTGCCGTGTTCCCGGCCCCGGTGCTCCGGGCAGACGGCACCTCCGGGCGCTGTCCCCAGAGGGAGGGCGCCGCCCCGGGCTGATGCCGTGCCTCTGCCGCGCACAGGGGCGCCCGGTGCTGGACGCCGCCGCCCCGCGGTGCCGGGCGGTCAAGCGCAGCTTCGCCTACCCCAGCTTCCTGGAGGAGGACGCCGTTGACGGGGCGGACACGTTCGACTCCTCGTTTTTTAGTAAGGCAAGCACGGGGCGCGGGCAGGGGGCAGGTGGCCTGGCCCTGGGAGGGTGGCCTGGCCCTGGCCATCCCCTGCCAGGAGCGCCTGAGGGACCCAAAGGCCCCCTGGGGGGATGGAGGTGCCACCTTGGGGTGCTCCTAGGTCCCACTTTTCTGTCGAGGGAGGACCTGGGGTGAGGCAGGATGTCCCCCAGAAAAGTCACGGCCAAGGCCAGCACATGCACCTCCCACCTCCCTCCCAGCGAGTGCAGGGCTCACGCTGCCTCTCCGTGTCCGCGCCCCCCGCCCCCCAGGAGGAAATGAGCTCCATGCCCGACGACGTGTTTGAGTCGCCCCCGCTCTCCGCCAGCTGCTTCCGGGCCGTCCCCCGCTCGGCCTCCCCTGTCTCCCCCGACGGGGTGCAGGCGCCTCTGTGAGTCCGGGCCGTCCCTCCGGCAGGGCTGGGAGAGGGCTCCCGGAGCCCAGGGGTCTTGTTGGGGGGAGGGGGGGGTGCCAGGCGGGCACCGGGCTGAGGGCCGCGTCCCGGCAGGAGGGAGTATGGCCGAAGCCCCGCGCCGGCGGCCAGGCGCGGCAGGCGCATCGCCTCCAAGGTGAAGCACTTCGCCTTCGGCCGGCAGAGGCGGCACTACGGCCTGGGCGTGGTGGGCAGCTGGCTGAACCGCCGCTACCGTCGCAGCATCAGCAGCACGGTGCAGCGGCAGCTGGAGAGCTTCGACAGCCACCGGTGAGCACGCGCCGGGGGGCGGGGGGGGGGGCACCCGCGGCCTCTGCTCCGCCCTCCCCTCACGCACCTCACAGGCTGCAGTGTCCCCTGAGCGCCGGCCCACGGGCCTGTGGCGGAGCCCCACGGGGTGCAGCAGGGAGGGTGGGTGGGTCGGGGGGGCAGTTATCGCCCCGCCCCAGGCCACAAGTTAGGGGCCAGTGGGAGGGGGGCAAGTGCAAAGACCTTGGGGGAAGCCAGAGCACGGGGAGGGGCGGTTCTCGCAGAGTGAGTCATTGGCAATGATCCAATAGAGACTCGATCCCAAGTTACAAAACACTAAGAAGTGACCAGTGTCCTGAGGAGGAGGGCGGGAGCGACAGCGGGGTGCGGTGCGGTCGGGATGAGCTGCAGCCAGCGGGCGGAGGAGAAACGGAGCAGCATGTGCAAAGGCCCTGTGGCTGCGAGAGGAGAGGAGGCCCGGGGCGGTGGTAGGCGGAGCAGGGCCTTGCCAGCAGCGGGAGGGGCCGGTGCTGGGCTTTCCCCGGGGCATCGGGCAGCCATAGGGTTTGGAGCTGGGAGAGTGCATGTGTAGAGGTGCCTTGGGGAGCCGCTGGCGACGGGGGAGTGGGCGGGAGCAGGGGGTGCTGACCCCGCCTCTGCCACAGGCCCTACTTCACCTACTGGCTGACGTTCGTCCACGTCGTCATCACGCTGCTCGTGATCTGCACGTACGGCGTCGCGCCCGTGGGCTTCGCCCAGCACGTCACCACCCAGCTGGTGAGTTGGGCTGCAGAAGCGGGGTCCCTCCCAGCCCCCCGAGAGGCTTCAGCATCGCAGGCCATTGACTGCCTCCCACAGCCACAGCCTGGCCCCGATGGAGGGCGTCCTGGGCTCCCACTGCTTTTCCCTGGCCCCCTCCTGGGGGCCGGCCCTGGCACGGAGCCCCCAACGCCTCCCCCCTCCCGCCAGGTGCTCAGGAACAAGGGCGTGTACGAGAGCGTGAAGTACCTGCAGCAGGAGAACTTCTGGATCGGCCCCAGCTCGGTGAGGAGGGCCCTGTCCCCCCGCTGGGCGGGAGGGTTGGCTGGCCTGCACCCTCATCGGGACACGCACCAGAGCGGGCGCTCACTCCCCCGCCCTGCCCCCCCCCCACCCACAGATTGACCTGATCCACCTGGGAGCCAAGTTCTCACCCTGCATCCGGAAGGACCGGCAGATCGAGCAGCTGGTGAAGCGGGAGCGGGACCTGGAGCGGGACTCGGGCTGCTGTGTCCAGAACGACCACTCGGGCTGCATCCAGACGCAGCGCAAGGACTGCTCGGTGCGCGGCCGCCGCCCCCGCCCCTCCCCGTCCCTGCCCTGGCCGGGGGCGTCTTCTAGGGCAGCGACCATGGCCCCTCTTCCTCAGCCCTCCCCGGCCTCATGCACCCCTGTCCACGGCCCTAACACCCCTGTCCACACAGTTGTTCACGGCCCTACGCACCTCTGACCACAGCCCTAACACCCCTGTCCACGGCCCTAACACCCCTGTCCATACCCTTGTTCACAGCCCTACCCACCCCTGTCCACGGCCCTACATTCCCCTGTCCACCCCCCTGTCCGCCCCCACACGTGGCCCAGCACAGGAAGGACGCCCACCTCCCGCCCCAAGCCAGTGAAAGCCGGGCCTGAGGATGTCACCGGGCGTGGGGTCCTGAGAGCAGGAAGAGCCTCTCCGGGGGTCCCCTGACCCTGCGGTGTGGCCGCCTGGCCGGACTCCCCCCCAGGAGACTTTGGCCACCTTTGTGAAGTGGCAGGACGACACGGGGCCCCCCGTGGACAAGTCCGACATGGGCCAGAGGCGGACGTCTGGCGCCGTGTGCCGCCAGGACCCCCGGTGAGTCCAGGGGCCCTCGGCCCGGCTGTCCGAGAAGATGGGGTGGAGGGACATTGGGGCACTGTCTGCCCCCCACAGGGACATTGGGGTGGGTGTGGCTCTCTGGGGGTGCCCCGGCCCCTCACGTGGCCCCCTCTGGCCTCTCCCTCCAGGACCTGCGAGGAGCCGGCCTCCAGTGGTGCCCACATCTGGCCTGATGACATCACCAAGTGGCCGGTGAGTGCCCGGGGCAGAAGGTGGCCTGGGAGGGCCGGGGAGGGGGTCCCGCCACCCACACAGCCCGCCTGGTCGGTGCCCGCAGATCTGCACGGAGCAGGCCCGGAGCAACCGCACGGGCTTCCTGCACATCGACTGCGAGATCCGGGGCCGGCCCTGCTGCATCGGCACCAAGGGCAGGTGAGCCGCTGCCGCCCCGGGCCACTGGGCCCACGCCCGCCCGCGTGCACGCTGGGGCCCTGTGGGCAGCAGGACGAAGGGGCGCTTCCCCGGGGCTCCGAGGGGCACTGTCCGCCCACTAGCACTGCTGGCGGTGGCACCAGTAAGTGGGCAGGGTACTCGGGCCCTGACACCCCCCCTCCTCCAGCTGTGAGATCACCACTCGGGAGTACTGTGAGTTCATGCACGGCTATTTCCACGAGGAGGCGACACTCTGCTCCCAGGTGAGGTGGGGCCTGGCGGGACCCGTGGGGCTCTAGCTGGTGTGGCTCAGTGGTTGAGCATCAACCTATGAACCAGGAGGTCACCGTTTGATTCCCAGTCAGAGCACAGGTCCGGGTTTTGGGCTTCATCCCAGTCAAGGGCATGTACCTTGGTTGCGGGCACATCCCCAGTGGGGAGTGTGCAAGAGACAGCTGATCGATGTTTCTCTCTCATCCATGTTTCTAACTCTCTGTTTCTCTCTCTTCCTCTCTGTAAAAAAATCAATAATATATATATATATATACACACACACACACATACATATATATATATATAAAAAAGGCTGATGTCATTTGCCTCAGCCCCGTCTGGCTTTCCAGATGACCCCCTCTGCTCCCCAAAGAGAAGCAGTGCATGGCAGCTACTGGAGCTGGCCTCACGGGGGCCCTCCTACAGCGGGTATCGGCTCTGCCCACCTACACCCGGGCGTCCAGCCCAGCCAGGCCCCGGCACTGACCCCATGTCGCCCCCAGGTGCACTGCTTGGACAAGGTGTGCGGGCTGCTGCCCTTTCTCAACCCCGAGGTCCCCGACCAGTTCTACAGGCTCTGGCTGTCCCTGTTCCTCCACGCCGGGTAAGGCTCCAAGATGGCCGCCCCCAGCGCCCTGTGGTGGCCGCCCCCTGGGCTCCCCCCTGAACCCCCCCCCAGAGGGGCTCCTGGGCCAGGGCGCAGCCCTCCCGCCCCCCCTCTCCGGAAGTGCCTGGCCAGCAGCCGCGGACAGACCGGGAGGCTAATGCCTGTGTGTGTGTGTGTGTGTGTGTGTGTGTGTGTGTGTGTGTGTCCCTCCAGCCTGGTGCACTGCTTCGTGTCCGTGGTCTTCCAAATGACCATCCTGCGGGACCTGGAGAAGCTGGCCGGCTGGCACCGCATCTCCATCATCTTCATCCTCAGCGGCATCACCGGCAACCTCGCCAGCGCCATCTTCCTCCCGTACCGGGCCGAGGTGGGGACTCGGTCGGTCGGGGCAGGAGGGGGGGAGCCCAGGGCCCCTGCCTGGCCGGGCTCAGCAGCGGATGAGCGGCTAAGCTGGAGGCTTATTGGCTGATCCCTTAATCCCGGGCGCGAGGGAGCTTGTCCCTGAGTCACGCTCAGATGGCACCTCGGGAAGGACCTTCTGCCCTCTCCCTGCTCCTCCCTCTGCTTCGGCTGTGTGACCACTGCCCGCCACAGGCCCCAGGTCTGCAGGGAGAGCCACAGGGAGTGGCCAGGCTGTGGCCATTCTTAACCCGTAGGAACCATGAGTTTTGTTTTGTTTTTTTAAATAGGTTTTTATTGATTTTTAGAGAGTGAGGAAGGGAGAGGGATAGAGAGAGAGAAACATCAATGATGAGAGAAAAACAACATCGATTGGCTGCCTCCTGCACGCCCCACACTGGGGATCAAGCCCGAAACCCTGGGCATGTGCCCTGACCGGGAATCGAACCAGCGACCTCTCGCTTGGTTCATGGGACAGTGCTCAACCACTGAGCCACATCAGCCCGGCAGGAATGGCAGTTTGTGACCCGTTTGCCCTCAGGCGGCTGCCCTGCCCAGTGCCGGTCCCCTCCCCGGGGCACCGGGCACGTGGAAGGTGCTCTTTGGCTGAAACGGTGGGAGTAGCCCAGCCTTGGTCCAGCGGCCCCAGCTGTCCCCTGAGCTTCGGGGCCCCACCCTGGGTCAGGCTCCCCGATAGGCGGCCCGGGTGCGGGGCTCCCTGCGCACCCGGCACCTGGGAGTGAGCACCCGCCTCCCCCCCAGGTGGGCCCGGCGGGGTCGCAGTTCGGCCTGCTGGCCTGCCTCTTCGTGGAGCTGATCCAGAGCTGGCAGCTGCTGGAGCGGCCGTGGCGGGCCTTCCTGCACCTGGCGGCCGTGGTGCTCTTCCTGTTCGTGTGCGGCCTGCTGCCCTGGATCGACAACATCGCCCACATCTTCGGCTTCCTCAGCGGCCTGCTGCTGGCCTTCGCCTTCCTGCCCTACATCACCTTCGGCACCAGCGACAAGTACCGCAAGCGCGCCCTCATCCTGGTGTCGCTGCTGGTCTTCGCCGGGCTCTTCGCCTCGCTGGTCATCTGGCTGTACGTGTACCCCATCCACTGGCCCTGGATCGAGCACCTCACCTGCTTCCCCTTCACCAGCCGCTTCTGCGAGAAGTACGAGCTGGACCAGGTGCTGCACTGACCACCGCTTGGCCACCCGCGTCTCCGCCCGCAGCTCCATCGGGACACGGGGCCAAGCCCGGGGCGGGCTGCCTGCCTGCAGAGCACCCACCCACACTCCAGAGACCGCCCCACAGGCGCCCAGGCCCTGGTGCCGGTTCAGAGACGGTCCCACAGGCGGGTTCTCTGAGGGGGGGTGCGGTGCCCCTCCTCGGGTGTTCCTGGCTGGGCTGGGGTATACCCTTGAGCACCTGCTTCTCTGCAGCCCAGGGCCCAGGCCCCGACTTACCCTGCTGTCGGGACCCCCACCTCCCACCACAGCCTGTGCTGAGAGCTGGGGCCTCTCCCTCTGTGACTGAGCGTGGCCTTACCGGGGACGTGGCTCTCCTCACCTCTCTGCCCTGCCAGCCCGTTCCTCAGTGGCTGTAGGGCCGGCCATCGGGTGACCGGGTGGGGAGAGGCTTTGGTCGTGGCCTGGGGCCGAGCAGCCGCCCAGAGACTGGGCAGGGGAGCCTGGGCATGTTTGCAGCGAGCAGAGGCTGTGCCCCCGCCCCCTCACCCCGCTGTCAGGTCTGCTCACGGGGAGCCTCTGACAGCAGCAGCCCCCACCATTGGCGGGTGGGGGCGGGGCCACCCCAGGACCTGCTCCCAGGATTGCTTGGGGCACAGTCAGGGCATCTGTTACCCTAATTTTTAAAGTAACGCTACGTTCGTATGGATGATGTCTCAGATGTATTAAATGGTATTCTTCAGGGGACGTCTCCTTTCGACACAAGGCCTCAGGAAGACTGAAAGCTGGAACCTTAATTTGGGGGTGGGAGAGGGTGGGAGGGAGTCAGGGTCAGAGGCTGGCAGAAAGGGGTCGTGGGAATTCTGTGGGACTCCTGGGGGTTTGGTTGGAACAGAAACCGGGTTGGGGTCCCATGGAGGGCCTCAGTGGGTCCCTTGAAGGGGTTGGAGTTAAATTCTTAGACTCTGAGGATGTAGGGGGGGTGCTTGTAGGGGCAGGAGGCTGGGCCGAGGGGTGGGCCTCCCTGGTCAGCTCCGTGCACGGTACCTGTGCCTCACCCAATCCTTCCCTGCGCGGGGGAGCCACCCACGCGGTCACTGGGCCGAGGACCCAGGGTCCTGGAGCTGGGAGCGCAGCCCCTGCACCCTCCAGCTCCCCCGCCCCCCGTCCCAGGGCTAAAGGAGAAGGGACCCCCTGGGACCCGGGAGAACAAGGGCCCTCACTGGGCTGTGGGGGACGCCCTGGTCCTGAGCTGCTCGCCTGCCTCCTGCAGGACCCATGGGTTCTGGGGCGGGGGGAGCTGAGGCAGGTGCTTGTCCCCGCCTGCCAGCCCCCCTGGGCACCGTCTGGAGTTCCGGAGGCCCGAAGGGTCTCCTGGGGACAGCCTGCAGGACACATCTTCCGTTCAGCTGGGAGAACTGGCCACGTTCTCTCTCTCTCTCTTTTTTTTAATAGAGGCCCGATGCATGGAAATTTGTGCAAGAGCAGGCCTCCCCTCCGCCGGCTGCGGGCATCGGGACCAGGCTGCTTCCCTCCTCCAGCTGCCCTCAGGCTCCAGGCCCCGGGCTGGCTTCCCTCCAGCCCCCCGTTTTGGCAGGAATGACCTCCAGTCTCATTAGCATATCACCCTTTTATTATTATAGATGGATTTCAGAGAGGGAGATGGAAACATTGATGAGAGAATCATTGATTGGCTGCCTCCTGCACACCCCACACGGGATCTGAGCCCACAACCTGACCGGGAATCGAACAGTGACCTGGTTCATACGTAGGCTCAACCACTGAGCCACACTGGCTGGACGTGGCCTTTATTTCCACCACCACCACAACCACCCACCTGGGAACCCCGGTGGAGCTGGGGAGGCCAGGGCAGGGCGCTGGAGGCAGGAGAGAGCCCAGTGCCCTGGCGGGGGGGTACAGCTCAGCAGCTGTGCCGCCTCAGGGAGGCCTGGCCCTGCAGCGGGCACTGCAGCTCGGTGAAGGCCAGCGGGCCCACGGTCACGGCGCAGGGGCCCACGGGGAGGAAGCCGAACCGCGCGTAGAAGGGCACCAGCGGGGCCTCGCACATGAGCACGGCGCGGCGCACGGCCGGCTGGCCGCCCAGGTGGCACAGGTAGCGCCAGAGCAGCAGCGAGCCGCGGCCCTGCTGGCGGAAGGCGCGGTGCACGGCCAGCACGTGCAGGTGGGCCGTGTGGCCGCGGGGCCGGTGCAGCTGCAGCGACTCCTGCCGGGGAGCACGAGGCACGTCACCCTGGCACCCAGGCCTCCCACCCAGAAGGACCCCAAAGTGCATCCCCACCCCCTCCCGGCAGGCCCTTCGCTAGGGCTCTGGGGGTTTGGTTGGAACAGAAACCGGGTCCCACAGGCGGGTTCCCTGAGCGGGGGGTGAGGTGCCCCTCCTCGGGTGTTCCCAGCTCGGCCCTCCTGCCCTGAGGGGACCCACAGCCTGTGCTGTCTGGTTTGGAGGAAGAAGGGGCAGTCTGGGCTCCCGCCCTCGTCCGCTGAGGGGCCGGCTCCAGGCTGGGTGGGGGCCTCTTCCAGAGGTTCCCTGGGGCTGGGCATTGCGCCCCCCGGAGCCCCCTCACCTGGGTGAGCCTCTCCTCGTCCCACAGCGAGCCGATGATGAAGGCCACCAGGCGGCCCTCCAGGAACCAGCCCAGGGACAGCTCCGGGCACAGCGTCAGGAAGTGCTGGAGCTCGTCCAGGCGCAGCGGGCACACGCCCGACACCGAGATGAAGGCTGCGGGGGGCGAGGGGGCTGAGGGCACCGTGCCACCCACCGTCCACCCCAGCCCCCCACAGGAGCCGGGGTTCAGGGCTGCACACGCACAGGAAAGCACACACGAGAACATGCACACAAATACATGCACACACACAGGAACACACAAGGGAACATGCACATGCATGGGAACACGTAGGAACACACGGGAACACACACACACATGGGAACACACACATGAGAACATGCACACAGTCTGATGCGCTGAATCCACGGGCCAGAGCCGCGAGGTCCCCTCCCTAGGCCCAGGGTGGTGGGGGGAGGAGAGGGGGGAGGGGGTGGGGAGAGGTGGGGAGGGTGGCGGGAGGGGGCCGCTCACCCTCCCGCTCGATCTCGAACATGCCGGCCGCGTCCTGGGGCGAGAGGCAGCGGAACTCGCTGGCGGGGAGCGTGTGGCGCCGCTGGCCGCCGGGGGCCTCGGGGGGCTCGGGCGCCCCGGGCGGCAGGCGCAGGGCCACGGGCGGCAGGCAGTGGAGGCTCTGCGTGGACATGCTCGCCGCTGGGCCCTCCCGGAGACGAAGTGCGGGCACCTGTCGGTCAGCGGCGTGTGGTCCTCCGGAGGGATGGGCCGCAGTGAGGGTGCGCCTGCCTCTTGTAGTTGCACCGGGGGTGGGGCCCGCCCGAGGGCACATCCTCCCCCTCACCCCATGCCTGCTGCTTTGGGGATTAAACTCCGGCGCTCTCCCCACCCTTCCCTGGAAGCCCTCCAAACCGCGGTGGCCTCCCCTGCATCGGAGCCCAGGGGAGCCCAGGGCACCCCGACAGCATTCCCCCAGGGAGGAGGGGACATGGGCCTGCACTGGCCACTCCCAATGCAGCTGAGGGTGGCGGGCGGGTTTGTCTTACTTCCCAGGTCCTGGGGGAGCCCACATTTTCCCGTGGCCTCGGCTGGGCTGTGCACAGGTTGTGGGGGGGGAGTCAGGGATGGGGAGAGGCCCCATGGGCAGCATGCCAGGGAGCTGGCTGCTCAGCATTTGCTTCTCCCCTGACCCCCGAGGATGTACAGCACTTAGAGGAGGCCCCCCCCTTACAAAGCCCCATGGTGCCTAGCCTGTGTGGCTCAGTGGATAGAGCCTCCGCCTGCCGACCAAAGGGTCCCAGGTTTGATTCCAGTCCAGGGCACGTACCTCGGTTGTAGGCTCCTCCTGGGCCCGGGCCCTGGTCGGGGTGCACGCAAGAGGCAACCAATCGATGTGTTTCTCTCACATCGACATTTCTCTCTCTCTGTCACTCTCTCTAAAAATCACTGGGAAAATACCCTCGGGTGAGGATTAACAACAAACAAACGAACCCCCTGGCTTCCAAATCTGCCCTCCGCCTCCGCCTCTTCTCACCTTCTCAGCCCACACAGGGTCCTCCTGTCCCTGGTGGCTGGGCGCCGGGCGGGGTCCACTCACCAGGCAAAGCCTCGGTCCCCCAGAGCCAGTCCCCGGGCGCGTCCACAGGGGCAGGAACAGGAAAACGGGGCGCTGAGGGCACGGCTGCGGGGGCAGCGTGGCCCCGCCCCACGGGCCCACATGACGTGCTCAGAGGTCTCTAATCCCCCCCCTTCACCAGCGAGAGGGGCCAGCCTCCTCTAATCCACACCCTTCAGCGAGGATTAGCCCGTGTTACTGGAGCCCCGGGTGAAGACTCAGGGAACACGCTCCCCGATACCCCCAGTTCCTGCCGGAGCGCTGGGCCCAGTGCTTTCCCAGTGGCCAGTCCCCATCTTCATGGCTCTCCTGCTGGTCGATAGAGAGGGTCCCCAAGTCAGAGTCCACCTGCGCGGAGGGAGGAGACCCTCCATTGGCCCCGGGGGCTCCCACTGGGGGCTGTGCCATGTGGATGACCCTTCCTCCCCTGCAGCTCACACCTCTGTGACCTTGTTTGTCCCCTTGCCACCACCCACCCCTGTCCGGCCAACACACGCACTTTCTGCAAAATCAGGGCCTGGCATGTCCACTCACCCAGCAACGCTGATCCCCGGCCCACCCATACCAGGAGAGCCTGTTCTCACCATGATCTGTGATCCGGGAGGAATGACGATGCCAGCCCTGCCCCGGGCTGCTGGGTCCTGACACTGTGGTGACCCCAGAGCAGCCTCGGAGCCCCCGCACACCCACACTCATCCCCTTCTCCAGGCCCCTCCGCCCCTCCCCTGGCCACCAGGCGGGTCCCATCCCACAACACACCCCGCAGCCAGCGTGGACCAGAAGACCTGTCAGGCTCCAAGACTGGGCTGGGCACCTCCCACCTCAAGGTCCCAGCAGAGGCCTGGGTCCTTCTTATTCTCTGTGCTCCCCTGCGCCCCCTCGTGGCCGGTCACGACCTCCTGGAGGCGCCAGAGAAGGCGGGCAGGCTGCTCCATCCGCCTCTCTTTTGATGAACTGCCAGGTGGTCCTATCTTTCTAGAAGCACCTCCGGGCACATGGAGCCCCGGGGACAAGGCGAGACAGTACACTAAACACGGCGAGACTGCGGGGCAGCAGAGGAGGGGCGGGCGAGCACGGCCTGGGGTCGGCTGGAAGATAGAACACGGACATGGGGAGTGACAGAACTTGTCTCTGGTCCCAGCCCTGGCAAGAGAGAATCAGCAGAGGCATTCCAGAACTCCCAGGCACCCCCCCACCACCTGGGTTTTGTCCCCCCGTTCCCCCCATAATCAAGTCCACCCTACCAACAGTGGCCTCAGGCGATACGCTGTGGATAAGGCTGCTAGGCTTAGCAAATAAAAATCTGAATTTCAGGAAAACAACTAGTAATTTAAAAAATATATATATATTTTTAATGATTTCAGAGAGGAAGGGAGAGGGAGAGAGAGAGAGAAACATCAATGATGACAGGAAATCATTGATTGGCTGCCTCTTACACATCCCCCACTAGGGATTGAGCCCCAAACCCCGGCATGTGCCCTTGACCGGAATCGAACCCGGGACCCTTTAGTTTGCAGGCCAACGCTTTTTTTTTTTTTTTTTAATATATATATTTAATTGAGTTTTTACAGAGAGAAAGAGAGAGGGATAGAAAACTAGAAACATCAATGAGAGAGAATCATTGATCAGCTGCCTCTTGCACATCCCCTCCTACTGGGGATGTGCCCGCAACCAAGGTACATGCCCTTGACCGGAATCGAACCTGGGACCCTTCAGTCCGTAGACCGCAGACCGACGCTCTATCCACTGAGCCAAACCGGTTTTATCCATGGAACCAAACCAGCCAGGGCAACTAGTAATTTTTTAAAGTATGCCTGGTGCACTGTTTGGGACGTACTTACCTAAAGCACGGTTTATCCAAAATTCTGATCTCATGCGTGTCTTGTATTTTGTCTGGAAACCAGCGTTGTGAGGTCTGAGGAAGGGGCGGTAAGCACAGGCCGGGGGAAGGGCAGTGAGAGAGCCAGGAAGAACCAGGCACCTGGCCTCACGGGGGGCGGGGGGGGGGGGAGGGCCTGTCTGGCCTCAGGTGGGGCGAGCCCTTGGCCTCCAAACCCCTATAATGTATATCTCGGCGTGAGGCCCCTGGCCTTTGCTGTCACCTGCCCCGCCCTCCTTGCTTCAAACCGGCTGTTTGTTCTCACAGCCGGCTGCACGTTGGAACCACCTGGCCGCTTCAAAAAATTCCAACACCTGTGTCACCCTCAGGCATCCGATTTCTTCTTCTTCTTTCTTTATTGATTCCAGAGAGGAAGGGAGAGGGAGAGAGAGACGGAAGCATCAATGATGAGAAAGAATAACTGATCGGCTGCCTCCTGCACGTCCCCCACTGGGGATCAAGCCCGCACCCCAGGCACATGCCCTTGACCAGAATGAAACCTGGGAACCCTCAGCTCACAAGCCGGCGCTCTATCCATTGAGCCACACCGGCCAAGTCAATCCTCTGATCTCCGAGTTCTGGGGAGGGCACCTGGCACCAGCTGTTGCTAAGGGTGAGATTCCCCAGGAATAGACTTTCTGACTCTCGGTGCTACACGGGGACCTTGGTTGGGCGTGTGCTCAGGCCAGTGCCTGAGAGGGCAAGGCCAGCAGAGGTGAAGCTGAGGAGGCGGAGCAGCGGAGCCCTCAGGGCCCCCCGAGGGGCTCTGAGCTGGGGTGGCCCTTCCCCCAGGCCTGAATGGAGGCGAGAGGACCATCCTCACAGCGGCGGGCATCTTTTCTCAGCCAAAGGCAATCCTTGGACAGGGGCACAGCTGTGAGCCTTGGCAGCCGCACCGGCACCTGGGGAAGGAGCTCTCGGACCTGGAGGAGGACGGGGCTGTGCCCCATGGCACCCGCTGCCCATCTCCCCAAAGGCTGCCAACCCCTGGCCAGCAGAGAGCAGAGCGTGTGCAAGCGGCAGGGTGTCCCTCCCTCCGGGGAGTCTCCCAGCCACGTGCCGCCCTCCCTGCAGGGGGTGCTCCGCGGCAGCTCTCCGCCCTCCCTGCAGGGGGTGCTCCGCGGCAGCTCTCCGCCCTTCCTGCAGGGGGCGCTCCGCGGCGGCTCTCCGCCCTTCCTGCAGGGGGCGCTCCGCGGCGGCGCTCCGGGCTCACTCTGAAGCCGCCTTCGCATAGATGGGCTGGCTCACTGCGGCGCTGAGGGGGGCCCACCTTAATCTGGGGTCCAATATCGGTCATAGGACAGAAAGATTTTCTCCGGAACCTTCCAGACCTTCAGGCGTGATGTCACAGGGGAGAGGGGCTCGCCACCTTCCGGAGAAAGAAGGCGCCTCTGGCTCCTGAGCCGCTGGGATCACGGTCCGTCCAACTTCAGGAAGGTGGTGTGAGTCCCACGCGTGACCTTCCGTTCCCCAGCAGCTGCAAAGAGACGGGAACTTGATCTGCATCGTAGATTTTATTTACCCTGATATGTAAAAAGTACTGTCATTCCAACAAGTAGTAATACATTATGTGTGCACATATAAGTGTACATTTATACACACACACACACACTGCACTGAGTCCTCAAAATTCAGTGTGCGGTTTACACGAACAGCACATGTCCATTCAGACCAGCCACACGCCAAGCGCTCAGAGGCCGCTGTGACGGACGCAGAAAGCTGAGCAGTGGGGGGCACAGGCGACGTGAGCGTGCATGTGGGGATGTGTTATATCTGGAGGAGACGGGGAGCTGGGAGGTGAAGGGAGGCCGGACACCGAGTCCCCAGGGGAGGTTGGCTTGTTGGTCAATCACTCAACAAATACCTTCTTTTTTTTTTTCTTTTTCTTTTTTTAAAATATATTTTATTGATTTTTTACAGAGAGAAGGGAGAGAGCTAGAGAGCTAGAAGCGTCGATGAGGGAGAAACATCGACCAGCTGCCTCTTGCACACCCCACACTGGGGATGTGCCTGCAACCAACGTACATGCCCCTGACCGGAATCGAACCTGCGACCCTTCAGTCCGCAGACCGACGCTCTATCCACTGAGCCAAACCGGTTTCGGCTCAACAAATACCTTGGGAGCACCTCCATGAGTCAGCGCTGTGCTGGGTGCTGGGATTACAAAGAGGAAGACAGTCCCTGTACGCAAGGTTCACCCCATGGGAGAGACAAGAGTGAAAAAAAAAAATGGTGCCCTAGCTGGTTTGGCTCAGTGGATAGAGCATCGGCCTATGGACGAAAGAGTCCTGGGTTCGATTCCGGTCCAGGGCACATGTCCAGGTTTTGGGCTCAATCCCCAGTTGGCTGTGTGCCGGAGGCAACTGATCAGTGATTCTCACTCATCATTGATTTTTCTCTCTCTTTCTTCCTCTCCCTTCCTCTCTGACATCAACAGAAATATATATATATAATGAATTAGTGTTTTTAAAAAATTTTTAAAAATTATTATCTTTGGCCGGGACCGGTTTGGCTCAGTGGATAGAGCGTCGGCCTGCGGACTGGAAGGTCCCGTGTTCGATTCCGGGCAAGGGCATGTACCTTGGTTGCGGGCGCATCCCCGATAGGGGGTGTGCAGGAGGCGGCTGGTCGATGTTTCTCTCTCATCGACGTTTCTAACTCTCTGTCCCTCTCAATTCCTCTCTGTGTAAAATCAATAAAATATATTTAAAAAAAAAATTATTATCTTTGTACAATAGAAATATATTTTAATAAATGGTCTTAATAGAGGCTAAGAAACACTGTCCTCAGGTATTACCAGGTCAGTGGGAGGGCAGTGGGGGATGGGACACTTGGAAGAGGTCATAGGCCCCTGATTCTTGAGCAACCCCCAGCGAGAGGCTCAGGCGAGGCATTTCTCCAGCCAGACACGAAGGGGAGGCTCTCCGGGAAAGCTCCCTCCTTCCCCTCCTGGTGCTAAGGCACCCTGGAGCCCCCAAACATGGGCTTCAAGGTGGGAGATTTCGGGCACCCCTGGGTTTGCTGGCATAGGGGGCTGGGTCCCCCAGGGGGCAGTGCGGGGCGTGCAGTGTGGTCTGGGGCGGTGGCCCAGTGGCCGGTTAAGATAGGGCCAAGGCAGGGCCTGCTTCCCCCAGATCAGTTCCCTGCTGCCAGCTCTGCCACCTCCTGAGCCACGCCAGGCGCAAGGGGCGCGGCCAGGCTGGCTCCGTTTCCGGTAGGTGCATTCGTAAACAAGCGGAATTCTCCCGAGAAGCATCTACAGTCCCCAAGAGGGGCTGGGTGCCGGGGCCAGACGAAGGGGTGTCTCCATTAGGGAATGAAGGTATTTTTTTTTTAATCCAACAATTATGAAAATCAAAACTAAGCAGATGCTCCCATCCAGGCCCACCCCACTTGCTGGCCCGGCTGCGCAGAGACTATGGCTGGGGGCCCCGAGTCTAAGAAGGAATCCAGCCTCACACCGTGTCCAGGTCCAGAGCATCTCAGGGCTGAATGAGGTCACAGAAGGACACCATGAGGTGGGAGAAAGGCCCTGAGCCTCTCTCTACAAGAGCTCAGATGTAGCTCAAAATGGGGGCTGGAGGAAGGGCTGAGAGATGGGATGGCAGCTCCGTGGTGTATGATCAGGGGGTGGGGGGTCACCAAATGGAGGAACAGAAATCTCAGGCCTCTGGCACCCATCAATATGGCACATAGTTGAGCACAAACACTGTGCCAGGCACTGTACTGGGTATCAGGGTTACACACATTAAAGATAACTTGATTGCCCGGCTTGTGTGCCTCAGTGGTTGAAGGTTGACTTATGAACCAGGAGGTCACGGTTCAATTTCTGGTCAGGGCACATGCCTGGCTTGAGGGCTCCATCCCCAGTGTGGGGCGTGCAGGAGGCACCTGATAAATGATTCTCTCTCTTCACCCATGTTTCTCTCTCTCTCTCCCTCTCGCTTCTTCTCTCTGACATCAACAAAAGATAGATATATATATATATATATATATATATATATATATATATATATATACACACAGCTGAAACGAGTTTGGCTCAGTGGATAGAGCGTCGGCCTGCGGACTCAAGGGTCCCAGGTTCGATTCCGGTCAGGGCACGTACTTTGGTCTCGGGCACATCCTTGGTAGGGGGTGTGCAGGAGGCAGCTGGTCTATGTTTCTCTCTCATCGATGTTTCTAGCTCTCTCTCCCTTTCCCTTCCTGTCTGTAAAAAAATCAATAAAATATATTTTAAAAAATACAGTAGGATCTACAATCTCGAAAGGGATTTAGTAAGGGAGAAATCAGCATTTGAAATCAAGGACCTACAACCCAGCAGGTTCCTGGGGGTGGGGGTGGGGGTCAGCATGCTGCTTCACCAAAGGGGGGCCCACCCTCCCTCCCTCACGGGCGGACAATCTAAGTGAAGCGTTTAGTGTGGTACCTGGCACTAAGTGGCCGCTCAATACACGGAGCTATTATTAGCCGTTATTACAAGAAGCTGCAGAATAAGCTCGGCACATCTTCCTCAAGAGCCAATTTTACTCAGCGATTAGGGAGGCAGGACAGTCTTTTTACATTATAACAAGCTCAGGCATAAGTGGATGGAGAACGCAAAACTCACTTGGAGTACTTTTATTTTTTTCCCCACTGAATATATTTTAATTTAATTTTATTTCTCTTTTTGGATAATCCTCACCTGAGGACATTTTCCCAGGAGTTTTTAGAGGGAGTGGAAGGGAGGGGGAGAGACAGAGAGAAAAACATCAATGTGAGAGAGACACATTGGTTGGTTGCCTCCTGCACATGCCCCAACAGGGTAGAGATGGAGCTTGCAATCATGATGTGCCCTTGACCAGAATTGAACCCAGGACCTTTCTGTTTGCAGGGGGTGCTCTATCCACTGAGCCAAACTGGATAGGGTCTCCCTTGGATTTCTGATATCAAAGATTTCTGGCCCGCCCTGCCCTGCTCTCTTCAGCCTACCTACACACCCCCATTCTCCAGTCAACACGGGAACTAGAAAAGCTTGGAGTCAGGCGACCCAGGGTCCATTTGCATCTGCCACTTACTACCTTGTGACCAAAAGTAGTATAATTACTTTTTATATCTTAAAATGGCAATATGAAGCAGACCATAAATATAACAGTTCTCCTGATCTAGAATTTTAGTATAGGTGGGGGTGGGAGGGTTGAAATATTAAAATAATAGTTAATGCCCTAACCAGTTTGGCTCAGTGGCTAGAGTGTCGGCCTGCGGACTGAAGGGTCCCAGGGTCGATTCTGGTCAAGGGCATGTACCTTAGTTGCAGACACATCCCAGTAGGGGGTGTGCAGGAGGCAGCTGAATCAGTGGTTCTCTCTCATCGATGTTTCTAACTCTCTCTTCCTCTCCCTTCCTCTCTGTAAAAAAAAAAAAAAAAAAAAAAGTTAATCTTTATTGAGGGAACTGTGTGCCAGGCATTGTTCTGTTTCATTTAATTTTCCCCATCATCAGATGAGACAGATACTGCTATTATCACCTCTATTTTACAGATGAGAACATCAGGGTGAAAAGAAGTTTATCAACTTGCCTACCTTCGTAAGATCAGTAAGTATCAATGACAAAAATGAGAATCTGTGGCTCCCACTCCTATCTGGCTCTCTTACCTCTCGCCATGCATAAAAAGCCTCACGAAGCTTTGAACTCATCTCGGTAGATTTATAGGCAAACCGCAGGAATCACTACCGTGTTTCCCTGAAAATAAGACATCCCCCCAAAATAAGACCTACTTAGAAGTTTCCTTTTGAGTGAAATATAAGGCATCCCCCGAAAATAAGGCCCCCCTAGGCTAAACATGAGAGATTTGGTCCACTGATTCTGAAAGAAATGGAGTCACAAGAAATTCACCAGGAAATTCAGGAATTGGATTGTTATGATGATGTTCCAGAAGATGATGACATGATTGTCATTGAATAATGAGTAAATTCTTGATACTGTAGGATTCACAGTTTGTCTGGTTTGTGTCAAAACTATGGTACTACCGTACCGTATACAGGTAATAAATTTCCTTTATTTTCATTTAACAAAAAATGTGTACAGTATTCTTCTTCATGGAAAAATAAGACATCCCCTGAAAATAAGACTTAGCGCATCTTTGGGAGCAAAAATTAATATAAGACACTGTCTGATTTTTGGGGAAACAGGGTAATACTTGGTCTTTTCTGATCTTTCTCTGGGCCTCTTTCACAAACGTCTAGATCAGTCCCTAAGGAGTCATCACCTTCCAAGCTTTGCATAGAATTTCCTAAAACAATATATCTTAGGTACACTCTATACATGCCTATTAAAGCCTTGCTTACACGCTGACGGGAGTCGCTTTTTAACTATTTAATCATGTGTATGCTTTGTCTCCTCAGCTAGATTGTAAACACGCAGAGGGCAGGGACTGTTTTGCCCTTTCCGTGTCCGGGTAGGAGGCTGGAGACGCCCAGGGAGCTCGCTCGCTGCTGTTGACAGCATCCGCCCCACTTCCGCCCCGCCCCGCCCCTTTCCCTCGGGGCCACGCTACTTCCTCCGCCTCGGCCCCGCCCCTCCCGCTTCCTCCGCTTTCATCCCCGCCCCTCCCTCGTGGAGTCCTTCCTTCACCCCCGGCTCCCGCGACATCTCCAGCGTCCCCTAGCGACCGGGCGGTAGCTCCTAGCAACCGCATCTCGGCTCCCTGACGGCACGTCGGGCCACGTCAGCGCGCCGTGGCCCCGCCCCCGCGCCGCTGGCCACGCCTCCCCGCGTCTGGGCCGCCGCCGCCACCTCCGCCGCCGCCGGAGACTCGCGCAGAGCAGTTATGGCGGATCCCGCAGCGCCCGCGCCTGCAGCCCCGGCTCCCGCCCAGGCCCCGGCCGCGGTCCCTGAGGCGGCCCCGGCCCCGGCCGCGGACACGGCCCCGGCCCCGGCCCCGGCCCCGGCCCGGGCGCCCGCCTCGGACTCGGCTACCAGGCCGTCCCCGGACTCCGGCCCCGAAGCCGGCTCGCAGCGCCTGCTGTTCTCTCACGACCTGGTGTCGGGCCGTTACCGCGGCTCCGTGCACTTCGGGCTGGTGCGCCTCATCCACGGCGAGGACTCGGACTCGGAGGGCGACGAGGACGGCCGCGGGAGCTCGGGCTGCTCCGAGGCGGGGGGCGCGGGCCACGAGGAGGGCCGGGCCAGCCCGCTGCGCCGCGGCTTCGTGCGCGTCCAGTGGTACCCGGAGGGCGTCAAGCAGCACGTGAAGGAGACCAAGGTGCGCGGCGGGGCGGGCCGGGCCGGGCGGCGGAGCGCCCGCCTGCAGGGCCGGGCCCGGCCTGGGGTCGGGCCCAGGCAGAGGCCGGAGGGGAGGCGCTGCCGCCGCGGGCCTGGGCCCAGGTGGGAGGGCGGCCTCAGCGGCGGGGACGCTCCGGTGCCAAGTCATTGCACCAGCCCTGGCCGCGGGCTCCGGCGCGCAGGGATCGAAGCCAGGCTGTGCGGTGCGGTGCGGTGCGGGCCTCAAGGTTATGGACGCGGGGCCTCTGCCCGCCGCCCGGGGGCTGCCCGGGCCCCGGCGCGCCGGGCGTGACACCAGTGCGGCGTTCCGCTGGCCCCGGAGCCACCCACCGCATTGTGCATCCCGGCCGGGGCGGGAGGGGTGTGGGCATTCCCGGGCAGCGATGCAGGTGGAAACCCCGGGCGACAGAAACCCCCTCCTCCCCTCACCCCATTGCAGAATGCGTTAGCCCGGTGCGGTGACCTAGCCCCTTTCTGCCTTACCCTGGGGCCTCATTCCCGGGGCTGCGGGAACTTCGTGCGTGGAATCACTGCCGATGGGAGCCTCGGGGGCAGGGGGCTGTGACAGCTGCCCCGGATCGATGACTCCTAAGTGCAGTTGGACTTCTTGGGGGAAAAGACCAGAGAACCTTGGACAGAGGAGCTCCACCCTTTGGGGACCTGAATGGTTTTTGTGGTGGTGGTGTTTTTTTTTTGACCTGAGGCTGTAAGCAGACATCAGACTCCCATTGGGCATTTCGGTGAGGCTGGTGAACATTGCAGTTTCACCAAACCAAGGCTTTATCGTCGGAAACCTGAAACCTTGATTCAAGCTTGGTGTGGTCTTGTTTTCCTGCGTGGGACTTCCTATCAGTGATTCACACACGCAACCCTGTATCTCTTACCCCTTCTCCAGGCCCTCTTCCCCGTGTCCTCCCCCCTCCCCCCCTTCCAGAACACATTTCCAAGCGAGAAGCAGGAGCAGGTGGTCGGAGGAGCTGCCTGGGACTGAGAGGTCCGAGCTGGGGAGGGGGCGGGCACGTCAGAGTGAATCTGGGTTTCTCACATGCCGCAGACAGAGGGGGCAGGACTGGGGCTTGGTGCCACATGGCAGAGGGGGTTTGTGGCAAGGGTTTGGGCAGAAAGAGCCTGGATCCAGTTCCCAGCGGCAGAAGTGACCGCTGGTACCCGCAGGGTCTTTTTCCACCCTCCCGGTGCGCATGCACCAGACACACAGACATCCACACGCAGGACGCAGGGCTCGGCTGCCCTCAGAGGAATGCAAACCAGGGAAGAGGGTAAGTCCCTGTAAACGTCTCCGGAAGGTCATTCTTTTCGCAGCAGCGCACTCGTTAAGAAGGACCACCAGTGTTGTCTTGTCGGGGAGTGGTTTTTGTTCAGGGTACTGTTGGTGCGCTGTCTTACCAGCAGATGGTTGCCAGGATCTTTCCAGGGGCTTTTAAAAAAATATTTTTCCGCCGGGACCGGTTTGGCTCAATGGATAGAGCGTCGGCTTGGGGACTGAAGGGTCCCAGGTTCGATTCCGGTCAAGGGCATGTACCTTGGTTTCGGGCATATCCCCAGTAGGGGGTGTGCAAGAGGCAGCTGATCGATGACTCTCTCTCATCGATGTTTCTAACTCTCTATCTCTCTCCCTTCCTCTCTGTACAAAATCAATAAAATATATATTAAAAAAAAATAAAAAAATAAAAAAAATATTTTTCCCTAATCATCTTCTCTAGAGGTTCGAGACCCCGGAATGCCCCTAGAGACGGGGTTCGGGGAGCAGGCCCGCTCACCACCCAGAGCTGCCATGCTCATCGGCTCCTGAACACCTTGCCTTTGGTAGTTCATTTGTTTACAGTTGTGTTCCCTCTGCCTCTCCCCCACCGTGTGTAGCTGTACAAAATCTGACTTAAAATACCAGTTTGGGACTAAACAGAAAATGACGAGAAGGCCATTGGACTCGTGTTGAAGCTGCCTTCTTGTGACCTGTGTTGTATTGGTTGACATTTTTTGCAGCTCCAGCGGCAGTGTCTCTGTGGCTTCTGGGCTTAGCAGAAGCCTCTGGCGGAGGAATTCTGGGAAGCGGAGGCATGGGTGGCAGGCCCAGCCCTTCCTTTAGGACGCGGGGATAGGTTTGTGTGGGAAGGACATTCATTCTTGCTCGGTAAGCTCTGGTGCCACAGCCACATATGGCCCGGTGAGCTGGATGTGGCTCCTGTTTTGCTTCTGGCTACGGACTAGGGTGAGGACTAGGGTGGTAGGTGGGTCCTTGCTGGGAGGCTGTGGTTTAGGAAGTTTCCTTCACACCTCCCACGCCTTATAAATCCATCGAGGTGGATTTATAATTTAGATTCTGATGTCTCCCACATCACTAATGTGGCTATGAGAGCTGGGAACCCAGTTATTGGTAGAATAATGTAGTCACAGTCTTAGAAAGCATTTCTTTTTAAAGTTTTCACCTATTGGAATTTGTGTGTATGGGATATGTTTTTATCGATTTGAGAGAAGGAGAGTGAGAGCAAGAGTGAGAGCGAGAGCGAAACATCTATCAGCTGCCTCCTGCATGCACCCCGACCAGGGATTGAGCCCACAGCCTGGGCATGTGCCCTGACCAGGGATCAAACTGGTGATCTTTTGGTACACAGGGTGACGCTCAACCAACTGAGCCACAGCAGCCAGAGCATCTGCTGGAACTTTTAAAATAATGTCCTTTTAATGCGGAGTAGTAGGCTGGGAGCATTTTTGTACTTCTTTCGTTTTGTTGTCAGTCCTCACCTGAGGATATTTTTCCATTGATTTCTAGGGAGAGTGGGAGAGCGAGGGAAAGAGAGAGAGAAACATGGATGTGAGAGAAAACATCGATTGGTTGCCTCCTGCACAGCCCTGACCAAGGTAGGTGTGGTGCCCTTGATCGGAACTGAACCTGGGACCTTTTGGTCTGCAGGCCAACGCTCTAGCCACTGAGCCAATCTGGCTAGGGCCCTTTTTGTTGTTTTCATGTTAATTTGATGGACAATGAATAAAGGCTTAATATTACTCTATTGACTTTTAACTTTTATATACATTTTTTATTGATTTTTTTACAGAGAGGAAGAGAGAGGGATAGAGAGTTAGAAACATCGATGAGAGAGAATCATCAGCTGCCTCTTGCACACCCCCTATTGGGGATGTGCCCGCAACTAAGGTACATGCCCCTGATCGGAATCGAACCTGGGACCTTTCAGTCTGCAGGCCGACACTATCCACTGAGCTAAACCAGTTTTGGCTCTTTTTTTTTTTTTTTTTTTTTTTTTTTTTTTTTGATCAAATTTCAAAAAGAGAGGTGAAGAGGCTGGCTCATGAGTCCTCCCCCCTCCTGGCTACTTCCATAAATGTAATCGACAGAAATAAAAGACGTCGCATTGCCTTAAAACTGCGGAACTTACTATTTAGTTCCTGGGGTTCCAGCAGCCCAGGGTAGGGCTTCTTCCCTCTCCTGACCGCTCAGCGTGATAGCGGATTTATCCACTGGACACTTTTCCCGTTTGGCCACCGACCTCCTTGCCGGGACTTGCTCCTCCTCACCGATGGTGATTCCTTCAGTGAAGTTTCTGATTGAAGCCAAATGCCTGCAGCCTCTTGGCCTCCTTGAGTCCGGGCCAGCCTCCTGGTCTTCTGGCCTCACCTGCCACGGTTGGGCCCCGCTGTGAGGAAGACAGCTGTGCTTCCGTCCAGGCTCGGGCGTCCCGTTCACGCGTTAGCTCTCCCCCTCTGTGCTCTCTTGCTTTCAGTTGCCATAACACTTAGGGTCTCAGCTGGCTTGAGATTTAATGTCTGTAAATTAGAGCCGTGGCTGTAATCGCCCTGCTGTGTGTGCGTGTGTGTGTGTGTGTGTGTGTGTGTGTGTGTAAAACATCTCTGATGACAGGCCCCTCGGGAATTGGCTTTTCGCTTTATTTTTGGCTCCTCCTCAGGCCGGCATTCCCCTGGGGAAAGCTATTTAGGTGTAGCATCGTAGGCTGTGAGGCTTGCTGGCCCCATCTGCCCAGGTGCCGGACCCATTAGGAGCAATTGCTCTAATGAACTAATAGGAAGAAGTTATGTAAGGCTACCCAAGCTGCGGGGCTAATGCACCTCATTGTATGCTATTCAGACGGGATCCCAGCGCTTACAGGCTCGGAGTGCTCTGTGATTTTATTCCTGGTCCTTTGGTTTCCCCTTCTGGCTCCTGGGACGCATGCCTTCCTGGTCCCCTGTGTAGCTTGTCGCCTGACTCAAGGGCACTTCCATCCGATGAGGCACGGGTGTTTGTGTCCTGTGATTGGAAGTCAAAACCCTCGGGTGCTCTTCCTGGCCGTCACCTACTCGGAATGGCCTTGGCTTACTCACTGCTTCCTTTTCTCTGCTGTAAAACACGAGGTTTTCTAGCCCCATGAGGGAGCCCGCGCAGGTGGAAGAACCCGAAGTGTGGGTGGGTGGGGCCTGGGCGGCCACTTGGCTGCTAGCAGCCGGCATCCTGATGCCCATCAACCAGAACCAGCCCCCCCTCAGGAGATCACTTGGGGTGTTGCAGGGCGGTGCCACCCAAAGAGGCGGCAGTCTTTGACAGGTATTTTGAAAATGGCTGAGGGGCCAGGGAATGAAAACCAGAACAGAAAGCAGCCCAACCGAGTCTTCTGTAAATGGCCAGGAGCTTCCCTCCTGTTACCTTATGGGAAGGTCAGTCATGCACATTTAAAGTAACCCCTGCTAACGTCCCCGCCTCCAGGAGGAGGGGTGTGCGTGTGTCCCAGCTCCTGGAAGGCATCCTCTGAAATTCCCGAATGACAGTGACGAGATTGTGAATTATAAGGGCGGTAGAGGATTGCTTGTGTATTTTAAGAAAATAATGACAGACAGACATATAGTGTGCCAGGTGCTCCAGTGCTTATGTGTATTACTCCATACCCACGACAGCTCTGGGAATTCATTCGGTCCTGTTCTTCTCATTTTCTGAGGAGGGATGAGGACCAGAGA